ATATAAGTTCAGTCTGTTTACCATCATCCATCCATCCATCCATCCATCCATCCATCCATCCATCCATCCATCCATCCATCCATCCATCCATCTACATTATCCATGCTTCACACATACAACTATTCTTCATCCATCCATACTTCCATCATCCATTCATCCATCGTCTGTCCAACTGTTTGACCAACCAACCAACCATCAATCTACTCATCAAACCAACTAACCATCAATCTATTTATCAAACTAACTATCCATCCTTCCATCCATCTATCCATTCATCCATCATCTTCTGCTTGATTCAAGTCAGGTCTCGGAGAAAGCAGCTGGATCAGCGAAGTCCCCCTTCCAGTTCTTCTGAAAGGACTCCATGGTGTGCCCAGACAAGCTGAGAGACATGGTCTCTTCAGGGTGTCCTGGGTCTCCTTCCACTTGGACAAGCCTGGACTGTCTCAGCTGGTTCCTCTGGATGTGGAGGAGCAGCTGAATTTCTAGCAGAACTTCCATCTGGATGTGTTTTTTTCTGCTCTGAGTCTCATAGGTCTTCATGTTCTGCTCTGAGTCTCATAGGTCCTCATGTTCTGCTCTGAGTCTCATAGGTCTTCATGTTCTGCTCTGAGTCTCATAGGTCCTCATGTTCTGCTCTGAGTCTCATAGGTCCTCATGTTCTGCTCTGAGTGGAACATTTAGAAATCCTTCAGTTCAAACAACAAAACCAAACGTTTCTGTCGCTGGTTACTTTGTGGAGAAACAGGAGGAAACGGAGTGTTTGTGTTAACCAAGATGAATCCCCTCAGTGGAAGAGTTATTTCTCTCAGGAACAAAAGGACGGATCAATCAGGAGCAACGCTGCAGAACAGCCGAAAGAAACACTGACAGAGACGAGACGCTTCGGTAGAAACAAGACGCTTTATCTTCCTTCAGACGTTAAAGAGGTATCTCTGCTTCAAGCTTCATCATCTCATGTCTTAATCCAGCTCAGGAATTATTCATCCCCTCCCAACATCACCGCAAATCACTCAGGTCTGCAGCTCTATACTTAGCCCCGTTTAAAACTCATCCTCTGACTCGCTTCTTTATTGAATCAGCGACAGAGAAGGACGCAGAATAAAGGAGAAAAACTGGCCTGGTTTCTTGCTCCCATTAAGTTTAATTTTTCCCACACTTCCTGTGGGATTTTCACCATCAGGAGTGTGACGAGACGATGCTTTGAAGCCCAAAATAAAGAAGCAGGTATAAAAAAAATTATCATATAAACGCAGAATCCCAGGAGACAGAAAACCAACTCCCACACAGCTGAGCAGAAATTTGTTCAGTTGATGCAGATTTTTATTCATTTATTTAAGGTTTTTAATTACTAATGACTTTATTTAAACAGCTCTTTCTAGTTGTGTCTGAAGAAAAGTCATGAAAATCTAACTGTTGGTGTTTTTGTCACGGTTTTAGTGTTTTATCTCCAACATTAAAATGTAAAAGGTGACAGACGGTGATGCTGCAGCAAAATGACAAACATATTTCAGCTCCCAGGAGGACGCAGGCTCTGACTTTATTTGGGTTTTTTTTTTTCTGTACTTTTAGCTTCGGTTAATCTGTTCCCAAATCCATCCCTGTGATCCGGTCCACGTTTAAAGACGTCAGATTCATGTGTTTTCTTTCAATAAGTTGCTGCAGCGATGCAGAAAACATCTGGATTGTTCTCGWCAGTGATGAACTGTCTGATGACATCTTGTTGAGGGGAAATCCTGACAAAGAAACCTGATTTTTTTTAATCTTGCAGCTTTTTGCATCATCAGAAGGAGGTCCTCTCCTCCTCCTCCTCCTCTGCAGCTCAGAGCTGCCAGCAGCAGAACTGGATTCTTTAATAATTTCACTCACAGCCGAGCTCTTCTCCTAAAGTCTCCTCGCAGCTCCTGGTAATGATTTTCTGTGTTTCTGCTGCTGTGGAACTTAAATTTAAGCAGAAACCAGCCGAACAATGTGTGTTTCTTTAGGGAGAAACAGGAGCCAATCAGAAAGCAGCTCCCTCTCTGCATGGCTTTCATTTATTTTATTTTATTATTTTTTTAGGACAAAGCAGTTTTTATCACCTGTTTGGCCTTGGCTGAGGCTGTGGGCCGGATGTGCCGCTTCATTCATCAACTCTTCATGAATGAGACTCAGAAACGTCAACAAGTGGCGCAGCTTGTTTCTTTTTGTTCAGTGTCAGTAATGAAAGCAGACAGATGTTGAACAGCTGCAGTTTGCTTTCTAACATGTAAACACCAGGCCGTGACAGGAAGCAGCAGAAGGAAGAAAACAAGCAAAATGTTGGAAAAAACAAGATGATTTGTGAAGAAAAACATCTGCTCACATCAGCAGAAGATCCAGACCTGAAGCCTCCACCAGACCAGAGACAACAGTCCCTCCAAAACCTCCAGACCTCCTCAGGTCCTTTACAGACCTGGACCTGAAGCATCATCGAACAAAAACGTGTCTAATTCTTTAACACACATTGTGTGTGTGTGAG